GGAAGGACAGATGAGAAACGCAGAGGGGCTGGGGAGAAGGCGAGAGTCACACGCATCACGGCTAAGTCTTCTGTGAGGACCAGGTTAGGTGCACGGGAACGCTGGGTGCCAGCGCTATCACGTGTGCAAACACAGAGCCGAGGCAAAGAAGAAGACACTCGGGCAGAAGATTTCGATTTCGCTGCGATTTCTACGTAAAGTAGACCATTTACAGTCAGGAAGTAGATTCACATCTTCCGCAGAAAACTCTGACTTTTTAGTAGGAAAGTAAGCTTTTAATGAATTCTACAGAATGGATGGGGGATCGGTCAATGCAAAGCTCTTTGGGTTTGTCGATGTTAAGACTTTTCATAGGTGTATCTTAAACATGACAGTTAATGTGGGGAAAAAAAAAAAGCCAGCGCTACCAGCTGTAGCTAAGACCACGTGATTCCTTAGTGCGAAACCTTAACATCGAAAGCGGTGAGTCGAAACCTAAGAACGGGCCTGTTCAGACACGGTAATGGAAGCCAGAGTTCACTAGCTCCCAGCCACTCATTCGGGACCGGTACTGCTTCCCACACCGACTCTGAAATGCCAGAGGACTCACGGCAGCAAAGGTTACTGGGCGATTCTATCGTCCACTCTGAGGGAATGGACAAAGGATTCAGTACACACCGTTTGGGTAAAAAGCATTAACGAAGCCGAGGGGAAAGTTTTTAACTAACTCCCATAAAAACCACTTTTAACTTGTGGGTCTATAATATGTAACCACAGGTTGATGGTTTTAATGTGTTTGTTCCTACTTAACATTCAAATTTTTAAAGCACAACGTTGAAAGGTTCCACATTTATTCAGCGGCTACCTAGAAAGGTCTATTCGTTTTACTAGATTTAATATTTAGTAATGACAGATTTTTAAATGTTGACAGCAGCCACACAAAGTGGTATGGGATTATATTTCAGGTTTAAAACAGTCTTCCCAAAGTATCTGGCCTCTTCGCGCCAAAATCATAGTCAACACCTGACTTTCTCTACTTATTACACAATTGCTGTACAACTCAAAATTCCCATCGAACATTTCACAGGCTTTAAAACTAAACGACTCCCTACCACCCATCCCCACCTCTCTCTCTAAGATCAGTCACCTCAATGAATTCTGTTCTAACCCAGTGCTTTCCCACTGGGAGCAAATTTCGCCCCCGGAGGCAAAAAGAAAAAAAAAAAAAGTTTTAGAAATGCTGGCGACATTTTGGTTGTCACAACCAGGAGGTGGAAGAGGGGGTACTCCGGGCATCGCCTGGGTAGAGGATGTTGCTAAACAGCCTACGATGCACGTGACAGCCCCTACGGCAGAATTATCGGCCCAAAATGTCAGCTGTGCTTCTGCTGAGAATTGCGTTTCTGAACCGAAACAGGTCAATGCGCAAATACAGCTGACACCTTGGAAAAAAAACGACTGCCAAGCAAGTAACTCAGAGTTCAGGAGCTTTGTTACTGGTAGAGACGCAGACACAATAAAAGTTGCTTTCCATCCTACTGAAGTGGTGACCTGACTTCGAACCGTTAATGCGTGAAGTTGCACACAGTCAGGAAGGGCAAAGCGCACTTTTACCTAAGCGGGTGGAGATTGTTTTAAAAACGATTCGGGAGACAGAAAAAAAACGGGATGGTGCTTTCTTCACAATGTTCCATGACTTTAAATTTTCAAGGGCAAACAGCAATGAATCATTATTTTTCGTTTTGTTGTTTAATTCTAACCAACTTTTTTTCGTCCCCTGAGTCGTTAGATTTTTAACTGGACAAAGTTTAATTTAAAGTAAATACAGGATGGGAGTTAACCACACGGTACTAGTCAGTGGAACAGTCTTAGAGCAAAACACGTTATTAAAGTGTCTGTCAAAACTCTAAGGCTTACCTGGCAAAAGGACCGGCTCCAGTTTCTTCTTCGCGTCCGAATTAATCTGATCGTCGGGCTGGAATACATTAGAAAAATCGATGCACGTCAAAACATTCGCCCCCCGCCCCCCGTCCCGTGAGTCACTAAGGCAAACTTCGTTTTCTAAGCGATGACATATGCGACAGACACACACGCCCCCGCCCCGCGCCCCGCAATTCTTCCCCATTTTTACCACACTCTTTTAAAGACCTGCCCCTTATCGACTCGGGGGTCTGACAACAAAATGTTAAAGGTGCCGGCGCCGCTTGCGGGTGTTCGCATTTAGTGACAGACAGACAACGTCTTCCACCCACAAGGGACGCGATCACGCTCGCGGTGGCCGTGGGGACGGTCGCCGGGCTAATAAATCCGGCTCCGAACGGTCCCTTGGGTCCCGGCGCTCGGACCAGGGCGGACGGCAGGTC